AATTCGGAAAGTAACGATGTTGTTTTGAAGGAACCACGAGACGAACGGCTGCAACTTCTTGTCGTCGATGTAGTTCTTGTGCAGGGAAGCTATGAACTCGACCAGTGGCTTGGACAGGTTGAATTTGATCTCGAGTTCCTGGCCGGAGTTGATGATCGCTTCTTCATGGGTGATCGGGATCATGCCGAACAGTCGAAACGCCTTGGTCGGACCCCACTCGCCTGTGGCGCACTCAGGCAAAGGCACCATGATGACGTTCAGCTCGGTGCAGACCAGCTTAAACTTGCACACACTCTTGAACTTCATCGGCTGTCCGGACAGGTACTCGACGGTCGGCACGGCGTTGGCGAACACGTCCAGTAGGAACTCGTCGACGCACGGCGTGTGGACTCGAAAGATCGCGTTGTGGCCCACCACCGACTGCATGACGAAGCGCTTCAGACTGACTCCCTTGTACTCGGTCGCGTCGTTGTCATAGAACTTCAGGTTGTAGTGGAATATCAGGTGACCGACCGTGTCGGGGGACATGTTGATGGCGATCGTGGCTGCGCCGCTCTTGTCCGCGAAGATGACCGCATTCTGTTTCGTGTCCGCGAACGACAGGTGGTAGTGGAAGAACAACGACCGCACGAACGGCAGGTTTTCGAAGTCCTGCAGGCCAATCGGGTAGCGCATCAGCTGCCACTCAGGCTGGTTCGGGAAAAACTCGTAGATGAATTCCTCGGGGTCGGTCATGAAGTAGTGGTCATCATACTCATAACGCAGGTTCTCAGAAGTGCCTATGGTCTTGCTCAGCGTACTGACGTTATCGCGTGCGTTCACCAAGTGTCTGGCCCCCCAGTTGCACTGCACGAATCTCCAGCCCCCGCTCAAGTAGACGGCGTTCCAGGTGTTCCTGAAAGTCCCGTCGTCGAACTTCATGCCAGGCTGATAGCCAGCACTCTTGCTGAATCCTTTGACTACAACACAGTGCAGACCAGCGTAGCTACAAAACAAAAACAAATTTCATTAAATTTCTACTATTATGCAATATGCCCATAAATTATAAGCATTAAGCTGGGTACCACTGCATTATTATGACCGTGGCTGTAGATCGAACCACGCATTTTAACTGGCTAAGATGTCATGGATACCAAAGTCATATTCCCTATGATATCTCTTTAACGGATAACATAACAGCAATGACTTTCAGTGCCGTGTGAAAAAAGGGAAAGTAATTAATCATGGGGATGATAATCTTTAACCCATTTGTGATTTAGCGTCATTTTCCGCGGTTTTCCATCATCCCTTGTATGATGCGCTACTAATCCATCTCCATCATCTGCCAGAAATGCCAAACTGCTTTTCTTACGGCTATGGCTTAGTGACGACTATTGTGTGCTGCCGTTTGCTCCTTTCAGACGAGCTGTGACCGTTTATCTACCTGAGAAAGTAGACAGTCAGGGATCGTCCGAGGGTTTAAACTCACTATCTCTTGAATAGAAAAATCCACACATTGTGTCGGCCGAACCTTGCCGTTCGACTTCGCTCCATAATAGTTCAACAATGAGCATTAAAGCAAACAGCGGTGACATTTAGCCATTCAAAGATGTCTCTATGATGGGAATTTTTTAAGAGTATCATGCCAGCTTGATGTCAAATGCAAATTGCTCCAATGAACAAGAGCTATGGAGCAAAGAAGGCTGGTTGTTTTAAGGATGACTTTCATGACGGCTTACCAAACGACATGCTCAGTGTAGAGACCATTGTACTTTTCGACCTCCCTTAGAGTGAACATGCCAAGCAAATGATGAATATAGGAGTGCAATTTGTGCTTTCAA